TTTCAGTTATGCGAAGAGAACATCTACGTATCAGCTGAGGCAAATGATGTAATGTTCGGGGTGTTTGGTCCAATGCGAAAGGCGCATGATCGAATTGTCCAGAAAATGGGTGAAGTATTGGACACATGGAGTGATCAAAGTGCTATAGGAGATGTGAGAAACCCTTTTGTCTAATGCCATTAAACGAATACTTTATTTTCAGATTTTTGTTGATGAAGAGGCGTCGTTAACTGAGGCGTATTCGCCGTATTTTCATACACTCGAAGCTTCGCTACAGTATATCAAAGAGAATAGGAAGCATAATGCAAAATTCAACGCATTTATCATAGTACGTTTGTTCATGGTGTTACTTTTACTTCTCGTTCGGTCATTTTTTTACTCCAGTACGGTAGAAAGCGCAGTATGTCTGATTTCTTGGACTTTTACCCTTGAACTTTAGGAACGGGAACGCGATCGATCTCTTGGAAAACAGAAGCTCGAATACTTATTGAACATTCCATTTCAACAGATCACAAGTAGGATACCTGCTGCTCTGAAAGGTGATTAAGCTTCGTTAACTTGTAAATACAGTCTTTTGATACATGATTCTTGACCTTCTTCTTTGTTTTAGAAGTCCGAAAACTCACCACAACTATCGATCCGGATCATGAACCGCTTGGCAATGCTATAGCGGCAGTTGACCGGATGCTTGCGTTAGTTGTTGTCATAGAACTTTGTTTGAAATGACTTTTTCACTGCTTTATATGATTCAGGACCATAAATGAAAGTAAGCGAATGTGTGCTGAAAGTGAAACGATTTACAAGAAGATACAGAATTTGCCGGTGAGTGTTATCTGTACTTGCTTTTACTCTTTTGTTAAAAACTAAGAAAACCAAGGTTTCACGAAATTTTGCATTTTCTAGAGTCATTTGCTCAAGTCACCCAAGCAGTTTGTTTGCGGTATGCAATTTCTGTCGAATGGCAGTAATCCGTGGGCTTTTGCTATAGTCGAGCTTCTGCTATTCAAAGATTGTCTTTTAGTAAGTCCATTCTTTTTGCGATTTTCACAAAAGTACGCACTTTCTTTCAGGTCGCAAAGAAAATTGATCCAACGGCCACCTGCGGAATTCGCAAAGTTAATAGGACTCTGAAATTCCTTGAATACTGCCATCTCGTTCGTATACGAGGCGCCAGAATCATACAAAACTCAGGTAAATTATTTCTATCTCTGTACCGAGGATAAAATTTCCTATCTAGATGATGAGAGAATGTTGGTAATCGTTGTACGAAATCCTACAAAGGATGCTGAATGGTATCTCCAAATGATGTATTCTGACGATGTGATCAATGAGTTCGTCATGAAACTAGTTGAAGAGGTAAAATGCTGTCTGCATAGTTCCTTCTGTCTCAACATTATTTCATCAAAATCGATGTTTTTGCAATATTCTGAACTCATACCGCAA